CAGGTAAGGATTACGGAGCTAGGGTGTGGTGGGGAGCAGGGGAGAAAGTTGGGACTGATGCAGGGACTGACTGAATGAGAAAACTGGTGAAGGGTGGAAATGATGTCAGAAAAGGATAAGAAGTGTGTGCAGCGTTCGGTGTAAGATGTTTGTCTAGTGACCTAAAATGTGCGATGATTTTATGATATTCCTTATACTAATTGAAATATCTGCTTATTTATTTTCATTTATTTGTTTTCTTCTTATGGTGTATGACCTTTATAACAGTCGTGCTAAACATCCGTGAAATAAATCGTATTAATTGCTGAAAATACTTAATGCAGAGTTACGTTTCCGCCTTACGAGTATGAGTCTCCATTCCACCACTTGGGGTTGTCTCATTGCTTCATCTGACCCACCCTGTCTCCTCCCCCTCAGCTGCACGTCAAGTGGAACAGCGTGCACAGTGCCCGGCTCGCCGTTCCGGCTGAAGATCGGCAAGCAGGACGCCGACCCGGCGGCGATTCACGCGCACGGGAAGGGCCTCGAGAAGGGCACCACCGGCCAGAAGTCGGACTTCATCGTGGACACGTGCAATGCCGGCGCCGGCACGCTGGCAGTGACAGTGGATGGACCCTCGAAGGTACGGAGGAATGAGTGGGATTTTGGGATAGGCGACGACGGTAGTGCCGTGGTGGATGAACGACTTGGGCGCGTTTAGTTGAGGTCTTATTTGATAAGTGAGGCCTAAAGCTCCCGCGTTCCACGGCCTGTTATTCAGGATGAATGAACAGCTGGTAATCGAATTGATCGTAGTCAGCTGCGTTTAATTTGTCGTTGATGTGTGCCACACTCGTCCAATGCCACTGAACTGTCATGTTTAAAGGTAGTGTGCCACCTTTGAAAGATTTCCCATTTTATTTTTCCTAGGATAAGAAGCTTCTGTTTTTACCTAATATCGCAAAAAAAAAATCAAAAATGGGCCTGGAATAGTGCCTTTTTCGCCTAAAAGTTTTTCGGTTTTTAGATATGTATAACAACTGTAGTGGGCTCACCTGCAAACAGGCGTCGGGCAACAATCGCGAATGCGGCGCACTTGTGACAATAAGCAAAGGTCATTATAGTGTTACGACCATACGACGTACGGGAATGAGTTATCAGCTGTCTAATCGTAGACAACACAATGTCGAGCCTTAAACTGTAAGCCCGTATTGGTATTGTTTCTTTTATTTGGCTGTCGAACATTATTTATGGTTTGAAATATGATTTTATGTAAAATAATTGATATGAAAAAGCCGTCTTATAAGTTATGACCCCATTTCACCACACGCAAGTGGCAGAAATGACAATGATCAGCTGACGCATTTTTCTTGGCCGAAGTCAGAGCGCGCGGCCCGACGCACCACGCGTATTTGGAAATTCCGACCTCGACGAGCATCAGAAGCCACCTAACAGGCGTGTTCGAAACCGCAGGAGATGATGATGAACGGGTTTATCGAAACTTGATTTGATGAACATATCGGTAATAGCGATTTCAGTGTGTGCATTTGTTGTTCATAGTGGTGTGAAATGTGGTTGGGGTACGACCGACAACCCGTCGGGGCGAATTTCGCACTGGGGTACTCAAAATTTGAAGAATTTAAGAAGTTTCCATGAGTTTTGAAGGTATGGATAAGTTCTAAAAATCCGGTTCTCCTTATCTGGGCCATTAACTCCATACGGTCCAAGAAAGCTGGCACACTACCTTTAATGTGTAATGACCTAATGTCTAGCAGCCATCTGCATAATATCCTCTCACTTTCTGGCCTTATTCCTTCGTCTGACATTAGTTCACCCGCCGTCCGCCAGGTGGCCATGGACTGTACCGAGGTCGATGAAGGATACAAGGTGCGCTACACACCGCTCAGCCCCGGCCACTACTACGTGGGCATCAAGTACGATGGCTACCACATCGCCGGGTCGCCCTTCAAGGTGGACGTCGATGGTAAGTGACAATGGAAGAGAGCGGGTTTGGTGGTTAGTATTGAAAGAAGTAAGATGCAACAGTCTTACGTCTTTTAGACGTCTGAACTTGAAACATCTAGCGTTTAGGCAGATTTTTCGTGTAATTTTCGGTACCTACGTCAGTCAGAAGTGACATTTTGTGACGCCATATTTACATAATATAATGCTACTCGAAAATATCTCTTTGTGAATATCGTGCCAAAATAGAGCGTTCGAGTTTTCATGTCACGTCCTCGACCGCTCTTGATTAACCCTGTTATCTGCTCTCTAGGCGAGGAGCTGGCCGAGCGGGGTCCCAAGGAGCAGTCGCTGGTCGTCGTCGAGACCATCGAGAAGGTGTCCGCCCGAAAACAGGAGAACAAGGGACCCTCGATGCCCAAGTTCAACTCGGACGCCACCAAGGTCACCTCCAAGGGCATGGGACTGAAGAAGGCGTTTGTGGGCAGACAGAACCAGTTCACCGTGGACGCCGGAAAAGCAGGTGAGATAGACGGTCCTCGGCGGTTCGTATAGCTGATTGGGGTAGTTTTTAATTTGGATAAATGGTAGGGTGATAGAACGAAATATTGAACGAAATAATTTATAAGAGGAGCAGAAGGACTCATGATTTCCTTCAGGTTTGTGTATATTATACAGCATGGAATCCGAACGGACTTTCGGATTTAATGCTCGTAGAACGGTTCCATGATCAATGCTGTTTGATTGTTCGATCGTATGGAAGTCTAAGTCGATCGAACGCGTTGAAGATTCGACCGACTTTCCATGTTAAAGTTATCTTGATTTTCTCACAGTCATCTGAATTGCTCACTTGGATGTTTCTCTCGGCCCACAGGTCAAGACATGCTGTGGGTGGGCTGCTTCGGCCCCAAGAACCCGTGCGAGGAGGTTCACATCAAGCACATAGGCCGTAACCAGTACCAGGTGTTCTACACGGTCAAGGAGCGTGGCAAGTACATCCTGGTGGTGCGCTGGGGCGAGAACGACATCCCCGGCTCGCCGTTCGAGGTCGAGGTGTGAACTGAGGTCGCCCGACGACAGTCTGAGTGTCAGTGATGAGATCAGGTGCCTTATGGCGGCGCGCCCGGGCGACCGCGCCGGCGGCCGCCCCACTAACCCGCCCGAGAGACAGAGCAACGGGAGCGACAGGGAGAGAGTGATAGAGCGAGTGAGGTTCGCCTTCCGCCGTCTGTGGCCGCCCGCACGTCGAGGCCAGAGCGTCCAGCGGTATTTATTGTGAGCGCTGGCCGGCCCGACCGGGCGGGACACCATTTGTGCCAATCTGCGGCTTTTGCCGTCGCGCCGGGACGGAGCCGCCGCCGCCGTCCCGTACACGGCGCAGCTTCTGCCAGCGAGAGAGACTTGTGTGGCGGCCTTGTTTTCTTTTTGATGACTTTATTTGATCTGAGCTAGTGTCAGCGTGGATCGGAGCATGTCAGCGCGGATCGGAGCAATACACTTACGCCGCGCTGGAGCGCTGGAGTCTGGTCGGCCTGTGGTCCGGGGCTTGGGAAATGGGAAAGAGTACCAGCTACATACATATAACTCGTAACTACATACTGTTATAGCCAGCTACTGTCACCGAACATGCTCTGGAGAACGTCACGCTAAGTTCAGCTAGCCCATGTCGAGCATGGCACGAGCTGTGATGCGAACTTCGTTCGGTGGATGGCCGGTACTCGTACTTTTGACCTCCGAGTCTGTCAGGACTAAAATCGGGCACGGTTTTATCTCAGATAAAGCAACGCAAAATGAGGTGTTTCGGTTTACCCCGTGTACATATATAACACTATGCAACAGTCATTTTGTTCCTGAGTAACGACCGATTTTTTGGACTCATTGGGTCCCATTATAACCGAAATGGGCATTTGTTTTGATCTGAAAATGCTTTTCCGGTTTTCAGAGACGATTTTCGATTTTTGGCCCCGAAATTCGGTTTTTGGCCCACTGTGTCCGGTGTAATTGAGTAATCGACTCGCGGTAACTTTCATCGCCCTTCCTATGCCACAAGCTTTCGAATGATATCCGGTTTTGCATATTTGCGTGTAAAAATAACGTCATAAATCTATGTTAAAGTAAGAAAATATTGAAATTTTGTAAAAATTTGACATTTTTTTCGATTTCATTTCAAAATAGAGAAAAAAACTAAAGGCCCTATCCAAATTCTGAACCCAGTTCCTTGAAGAGCATTCAATTTCCGTTCGGAAGGTACTATTTTAGTGCATTTTATCGGTTTACTGTGGCGTCCAGATTGAGTCATTTGAAAAACGGGCCCCAACAGATCAATATTCTGAGCGACAGGACTGCTCAAAAGTAAGTTCCTGCGTGTGACCCGAGGTCACAAGGGGTCAACAAAATGACCTCAGTTGACCCCTCGTTGATCCTATGGCGTTAACATACGTTATCAGGTTAATGCTATGTGATATGACTTAGGATATGTGTTTAGGTTAACTCAATCTGGACGCCACAGGAATCCGATAAAATGCACTAAAAAGGTACCTTCCGAAGGGAAATTGAATGCTCTTCAAGGAACTGGGCTCAGAATGTGGATGGGGCCTTTAGTTTTTCCTCTATTTTGAAATGAAATCGGAAAAAAATGTCAAATTTTTACAAAATTTCAACATTTTCTTACTTTAACATAGATTTATGACGTTATTTTTGCACGCAAATATGCAAAACCAGATATCATTCGAAAGCTTGTGGCATAGGAAAGGCGATGAAAGTTACCGCGAGTCGATTACTCAATTACATCGGACACGGTGGGCCAAAAACCGAATTTCGGGGCCAAAAATCGAAAATCGTCTCTGAAAACCGGAAAAGCATTTTCAGATCAAAACTAATGCCCATTTCGGTTATAATAGGACCCAATGAATAAGAAAAATTCGGTCGCTTTCCAGAAACAGAAAATTTTTCATTTTTTGTTGCATAGTGTAATGAAGGCGTGATGCAGTCAATCCACGTAACTTCACAGTATCTCGTCAAATGTGGCGCTATAGTAGGTAGGTACTGTCTGGCTGATAAAGAATAGCATCCTGCTAAAAACCCAGCCCCTACGTCACAAACAAGTCGTACCTGGTCGTACCCACACATCTGAACCATCGCATTCATTTCATTACGTAACCGGTAACACGAAACGCTACGAGCCCTTCGGCACGCCGCTTGGCTAATTACATGTAAGCCAGCAAACACTTTACCCAAATCAACGCGGCAGTTACAGTGCCTTATGAACACCTGTGGTCGTACCACTGAATCTTAGCAACTCCTCTCGAAGGGAAGTGGGCGCGACTACCATACATGTCATGGAATTAGGCGCCAAGGACGGGGATACCCACAGGCAGGCACAGGTTCAATGTGATGACACGGTAAACTCGGAAAAGCCGAGCTTCCTCTGCATGTCCGGGCCTGGCGCCGCGCTTGCCGGTCAGAACCGGTTTTATACGGATGAGCCGGCCTTGGCAGTCCAGAGCGGAGTGGTGCGAATATTCTGTGACTGTGTACAGACGGCGGACGGTGGCCGGTGGTTTTAGTTTTGTGTGCGAGTGGAGAACACCGAACTTGTAAATCGACTCGACATGGCGTTGCAATGCGTGCATCGGTACTGCAATGGAGTGGTGTTGCTTCTCTTGCTGAGTAGCCAGGGTTCAGCCCAGGGACTCGCAGCGGACTCTTCTCTCCAGCTGAACGTTCCATCCGAGCTCATGGACCCCCCGACAGCTCCCAGACACCGCCGTGCCAGCGATAACCCACTGGACTGCGACGAGAACGAGGATATTTGTGACATCTACAGTCGAGCGTTCCAGTCCCTACCCGGGATGCGCACTTCCGACGAGCCAACACTACGTAGCGTATCGCGACAGACATGCGCGACGCGATGTGCACTACGGGCCCCCGCCTGCCGTCATTTCAGCTACCAGTCGCAGAAGCAGCTCTGTATCCTTGGTTGTCGTCCGGGAAGTGCTTCCTGCACTCCTAGTGGGGATCTAATGAAGGACTCCTCGTGGTCGTTTTACTTCCTAAGTGCAAGTCGACTGGCGAGTATCACCAACTCCGTGATCCTGGCGCTGCAGAATCGAGCGGCCTTCGGTGGTGTTGAGGTGCGCAACATCAGCGATGCGCTCGAAGGGGGCCGGTTCGGCGGCGGAGACCTGAGTGTCGGTGCCGAGCCGGCCATTGAGAAACTCTTCGGCTCCCCGGGACCTCGACCGGCCGGCGGCGCGGCGGCGGACATGATTGCCAACGGCCGGACCCAGCTCCTGCCGACGGACTGCGGACGGGTGCCGCTGTCTGCCACTGCCCCAGCCCCCGTGCCGAGTATTCTCGGCGGAGAGGCTGCGTTTCCCGGACAGTACCCGTGGCAGGCGCGCATCCTGGTCAGGGAGGGTCACAGCTACGTGCACCGCTGCGGTGGAACCATCATCACCGATAGACATGTGCTCTCTGCCGCTCACTGTCTGAGAGACGTCTCCATCAGTCGAGTGGAGGTGCGCGTGGGAGAGACCGACTTTGACGACCTGGGACTGTTCTCCAACTCTCTGCAGATCTTCTCCGTGGTCAACATGAAGTTCCACGACTCCTACCTGTCTGACCTGGCCGGAGGCACCTTCTCCAACGACATCATGATGCTGCAACTGCGCCCGTCAAACGGCAGACTGATAAAGTTTGATGAGCTGGTGCAGCCAGCGTGCGTTCCTCGCTCGGGCCTCGAGTACCAAGGTCTTCGCCCAGCCCAAACCCTCGAGCCACCCCTTAGCTGTAACGTCTCTGGCTGGGGAAAAACGTCCCGCGAGGCCACTGTTACTTCTCCAGTCCTACGCGGAGTCGAGATTCCCCTCGTCAGCGACAGCTACTGCGGTTCACCAGAGGCCTACGGGCGTCGTTTCCAGTCGCAAATCATGTTCTGTGCAGGGTTTACTGACGAGGGTGTCAACCGCGACTCATGCGGTGGAGACTCAGGCGGGCCGCTCGCCTGTCCGTTGCTCGACTCAGGCCTGTTTGCGGTCTATGGAGTGGTATCTCACAGCCATCCGAAGGGCTGCGGCCGCGAGCCGGGAATGTATACCAAGGTGTCGTACTTTACCGACTGGATCCTCAGTGCTGTGGAGACCCAAGTGTGACCGGTAAATGACAGAGTGGGAGGGTGTGGGAAGGAGTGATGCGATAGATGCTGTAAACTGGAGTGATATGATGTGAAGAGGAATGGCTGACTTATGATGTGAACGGGAATGAACAAAGGTAACGTGAAATCATCCTAATCGATATCATTGAACGAGGGCATATCATGAAACGCATTGGATGTGGCATATATAGGAAGTGTGGATTGTTCAATATATGTTCGTATGGTTGTTCGTATATTCGAAACGAACGGCAAATGCTTTAAAGTTTAAAATATACGTGGGCACCAAACCAGTGGATTTACCGCACGGATGTCGAGTTACTGATAAACTGGGCACATGCAGACAATTGCATGATACACAGTGTGAACGAGACGCAACAGCAGCAGTTACACAAAGAGACCTCGTTGACCTGATCGGCTGCCAATACACGCTACTTTTGCGTTCCTGCTATCTAAACCAATGCATTGGTGAATTTGAGCATTGATTTTGAAGCACTGCATCATTTACGGAGAAGAGTCCCCAGCATACGCCGGACTCAGGAAATTCCATGACCTGGCACAGATGGACGTCACGGACGCCTGTAAAATGCTAAAACCTGTTTTTGTGCAGCTGACCGCGACCTATACACAAGCCTGGGATTTCTAAGCGGCAGTACTGACCACCATGAATCGAAGTAAAGTCATGCCGAGATTATTTCGCGGGCCGCGCAGGGCGTAATTATACCCGGCTGTGACAGCCCATGACCATATAGTAACTTATGTCATTACTTGGCAGAACATCCTACTTCACGTCAAATGATCTGATCACTGATGAATCAGGAACAGGTACAGGCTGTCTTCCGAAAAGTCATAGGTTTAGAAATATATTCGAAGAAGGGTTCGACGGTTTTAATCGCTTTGAGCTTGAAATCGGAGCATCTTAGTCCAATATCTTGACCTATTTTGAAACTAATCTAACATGAATGGACTCTTGTGGCGCAGCCTTGAATGAATCCCAGCGGCTCCGCTGCACTTCACTCCTTATATCTTTATGGACCAACATGTCAGTTGGCACTCATTTCTTCCAAACATCCATCAGCTCATGTCTCCTGCCCCTACCCAACAAGCCATATGTTCCCCACGGTGCCACACCATACAACACCGTTCTGCTCGGTCCTTCTGTATTGCCCAGCGGCTGTTCACTTTGACACGGACACAGCTCTCGTCACACGTCACCGTGCGTCATCAAACGTCACCGTGCGTCATCAAACGTCACCGTACGTCATCAAACGTCACCGTGCGTCATCAAACGTCACCGTGCGCCATCAAACGTCACCGTGCGCCATCAAACGTCATCATCCTAGCCGGAAATAAATAGACTCTCCGAACGGGTAGCGTGAGTGGCCCTCTCCTCGCGGCCCTCCCGCCCTCTGCCCGCCGTCCTCCCATTCTCTGTCCGCCCGGTAAAACGCTATCAAAACCACCGGTGAGCCGCAGTAGGCCAACGTAAAACAGCACAGTCGCCGCTGCCCGCCCCGCCCTGCCGGCCTGGCCCTAAGGGACGCCGCAGAGGACTGTACCCCTCTGCCGGGCTGCCCAGACCTCAGTCAGCAGCGGCGCGGGGGCGGTCCCTCTTGTCAGGTACATGACACAGCCAAGTGAATCAGGTCCTTCTGAAGCTCTCTGTCAGTGACTTGACGTAAGCCTCGTGTAACTGGCCCAAAAACGCATCGTCGTTCTGAAATGGCGAGAGACAAACCAGTGTCATTGTGTGGGTCCAGGATTATCCCTAAATCCCTAAAGTAACCACAAAACTCTTCTACAAGCATATCGGAAGATGGCAACCGTCTTAAAATCTAATTGAGCTGTTACATAAATTACATAGCCCATTTGACCTCAGACGCAAATGAAGATGACTTTGGTAATATCCATATTTTCCGCTATTTCGACCTCGCCACAGAACTCAATGATACCGAACATACTCAACAATCAACACCACAAATACCGCTGAGATCCGCAGCACTCACCTTCAGCAGATAATTGAACGCCTGCAGCAGCTGGCGCCGGGTCAGGGGCGTGACCTCGGTCAGGTCACCGTCTCCGACCGGCGCTGGATCAGCCAGCAGGGGCGACGGCGCGGCTGGCGGCGCGGCGCGGTCACCGGCGCCAGCTGAGCTTCCCAGGTCGACGCTAGGCGGCGCCAGTGCGGAGAACATCATCGGCGACATGAGAGTGACAGAGACGCCCGAGCCGACCGGCTGGGGGTGGAGGGGGAGAGAGTCAGGGGGCTGGGCAGAAGCGTGAGCGGGGACGGGCTGAGCAAAAGTACAGTCAGGAAAGTATTGGACAGATGAGCTGTCAGAGAAAACTACAAAACTGCATGGGATTTGAAGAGGACTAGAGGAGAGGGGGGGGGGGACTAGGGGGGACATTCTTGAAAGGACTGAAACTGCAAGCCTTTTCCGGAGTCCTGCTACTGGCGGACGCTTCACATGAGACAACGGGCTCTGGCTTCACAGCTCTCAGGTTCCACACAAAATAAATGATTCACACTGTCAAGTGTCAGAATGATGGATTGAATGAGCGTATTCATAAGGAAGAAAACATTTATCTCAAAGTCACGTTCACAGCCTTAGCTTCTCGGACCACCCGCTAGATGGCAGCACCTGGGCCTCCTACCAACACATGTCCGTAATCTGAAGTCTTCAGAGCCGTGCCAGCATTCAGTGGGTGACATTCAGTACACTGGATAGCGACCGGCGGGGAGGGGAAGGGGGTCGGGACAGGGGACAACGAGGAGGCAGGGGCCGCGGACAATGCGGCTCAGTATTTGTAACAGTCGAGCCGGCTCTCTAGCCAACAGTGCACCTGACGCTATCCATCAGAGAAGGACCAGCTGAGTGGAAGAGCGGAGAGGACTCTGACAAAAGATGTAATAGCGTGAACAGGGGACCGGGAAAAGACCAATGAGAAATAAGTTATAGTAGCAAAAGGCTAGAAAATTCAATGCTAGCAGCGCAGGATGTACAAGTATGCAGGATGTATAAGTCAGGGCACACGTATAGATGACAACGCCCACCCAACATCACAAATATTTCTTCTGATCGTCATCGCAACACTATTTCTAGCCCCCCCCCTAAGTTCCTCCTCCGACAACAAAACAAAATTACCACAAAGGCCAACTCACCGCTGTGAGGTCCGGAACCGGCACGGGCGACGCGAACGCCGCCGTCTGGTGGCTCACTGCCGGAGACGGAGACGGAGCCGGAGCCGGAGCCGGGGCCGGAGCGGCGGCCGGCGGCTCCGCGCCGCCCAGCTGCAGGTTGTTCTTGAACAGCTCCTGGATCCGGTCTACGTCTCGTGATTCCGCCTCCCGGACCGGGGCTGCCGGGCGGACGGCGGCAGCGCCTGGAACGGATCACAAGACGTAAAAGGCCGCTGGTGGGTTCTGGACTGCAATAAGAAGTCAGAACCAATACTAAACCTAACAACAGTTACTGATTAATGAGCAAACAGTGGCTTTTGGTTCAGCACCAATCTTTTACCATGACTGATTCACAAATAATGTCACAACTTCCAAGGCAAAGCGGCAGTGGCAACTACAAACGCAGTGGTCGCAGCAAGTAAAAGAGCGAAGGACACTGTCGCATGTGGTGACGATTGTAACAGGTTGATCGTGGTGGACAGCTTAGACTGAGGCGAGGCGGAAAAATGACAAGGAGCGGGATAGGGTGGGCGGAGGCGGAGGCGGAGGCGGTGGGCGATAGCGGTGGCGGCCTCACCTGACGGCGGCGCGGCCGAGATGACGGGCGGCGGTGGCGGCTGGGCGGGCAGCCGCGGTCTACCGCCCAGGTCCGGCATGGCGTCTTCTACCTCCGACACAGAGATGGACCGGGCCGTCTGCTTACCAATCAGCACCTGAACGGAGGGTAAGATAAAGTCAGTAGAGACAGAGATCGACCGTACAAATCGCTGGATATTTGTACGCGGAAAATATACTGGAAAACTCAATACGCTCACCACGCTCCGTAAACAGCAACACTAAAACGGGACGCCGCAAAGTATTGTCTGACTCCTACCTAATGTGCGTCACGGAGTTCCGTCTTTCAGGAGGAAAATGTTTGTGTAAAAAATAGGTGAGCGACACAACAAAAGTGAAACCGCCGCAACATTATGAATGCCATCCGCGCCTCTAAAAAGTATCAACGGAACATAAAGCAACTTGTAGAGTTTGGAGAGTAGTGTGTACACATTGACCATGGGTGATGTGATTTCGAACACAAGTATACCACACAAAAAATATACTGCATACTTACAGTTACTTATGTTTAAACCTTCATGATGCGACGATAGAACAATGATGGGAAGATGGTCTAACAAAACAAAGTTCTTGACCACTCATAACCAAACACCATTGATAACAAACCAAACATGCAAGCACTGGTGGCAGTGAACGAAACATGACCCAGTTTTCGACACTGACCACGGTCATAGTAAAATAAACACCGCCGACAGACCATGAGGACAGTCAAACACACATCAGGCCACGCCGGTCCATCAAGTCAGTTACGAACGCCAAGACAGCCAGACATACAACTGGAGACTCGCAATCCTTAGCGCTGTTCAGTGGCCGTCTTTTATCAGCATGCTGCCAGCTCTGCAATGGGTGAAGGCTACCTGACGGCGCTTTTAGCTCTCATTGGTGAGGAGCACGGCTTACGTTCTTTTCATCGATGAGAGGCCGAGAACCGCGAGCAATGCGAAAACACGCTAATAAAAAAACACCCACTGACCCACCCAACCAATCTGTGATTTCTCGCATCGCCTCCGACACTCACCTGACCGGTCCGTGACGCCTTAGCGAAGAGGTCAGCTATGCTGATCTGCCCCGCCTGTGTGGGTGGGGGCGCCGGGTCATCCCGGGGAGTCTCAGGTCTGCTACCCGAGCCCGCCGCCCCCGCCGGCGGCTGCCTCTGCTGCTGTCCTTTGACCGGCTTCTGTGGTGTCAACTGCTGCTGCTGTGGCTGCTGCTGAGACGGCTGAGGCTGCAAGAAGACAAGTTGACAAGTCAGGTAAGCCAACTATAGTTATAGAACATGTCACATGATAGCACACAAAGGCTCCGGCAATGATACATTGAAACTGAGCCAGTATCATGCCTGGAAGATAAGTAAGCAAGTCCTAGATTCGGTATCAATCTATCACACCACGAAGAGACTCTCAAACTCGGCAAAGAAGATCAAGCTTGATCGTCATCACGGCGACTTCCGGCAAATCCGTTCCGACACAACTCACCCCTGAGGCGCTTTTGAAGAGTGTGAGTAGGTCTATGGAGGAGTTTTTGTTTGAGCCGGGCGCGCCGCCGCCACCCGCTGATGACTGGCATAGGCTCTCCAGTAGACCGGCCATCCTTTTACACTGGGCCTCGTAGAAGAACCATAGACCGTAGATTATTCCTGCAAGGAAGGAGGGATGTGATCAGAGTTTGAGACGTTGCTCGATGATCTACAAAGTCGCTACGGTAATTCCTAACTTGTCAATTACTTTGCTCTTCAAGTATCGAAACGCAAACTTGTACCTACGCATGGCAGCAAAGAAAACCGGCACAGCAAACGCAGAAAAAAAAACACGATATCCTACAGGGAACACCACACCATCAGCAGCAGCTTCCCTCTCTGAACTGACGTCACAAATCCTGCTGCCGGCAGTCAGCTGGTCTGCCGTCACCGGCCTCACGCCCGCAGCCACCGCCGTCCATATCCGTCTAAATATACCGTCCGCCGGGTCCGCCCCGTCCGTACCAATCCGGCGAGCGCTCCGTTCGCTCAGTGACGGACGGCGCGCCGCCAGGCCGGCCCGGCGCCGCGACACTCGAATTTATCACGGCAGCACGAGCGCCAGCACGAGCGCCAGCACACATAGTCATCACTCGTCGATCCGTTTCGACAATCGGCCAATGAGGGCTCGGCTGGCGGCGGTCCCATCGCGACGAAACCGGCGGACTAAGTCAGTGACGGGCGGAAACGGAGCCACGTCACGTTACGCAACCGGGCAGTGACGTCATAGTAACGTAACGTAACGGGGCGTAACGTGACGTCACGCTGTGTCAGAGACGTCGAGACGGGGAAGGGGCATACCGCGCATCTATCTGCTGACCATGGCGTCTAGGGTTTGACAGGCCGGGTCGCTGCTCCCATTCCCGATATCTGCTGAGGGTGGCCGGCGAACTGACGGTAGCGACGGTCATCATTGAAAAGAGAGGACAGTTCCCACAGACAAATGCTGACAGACAGACTGTCTGACTGTCTGTCTGTCTGTCTGACTGACTGAAAGACGCACTGAAATCGAATCAGGCAACGAAACCGCCCGGGTACGTATCTTCAAGTCTCTCACCAGGGGCGGATCCAGAAAATCTCCAAGGGAGGGGCCATTAGAAACCAGGAGGCCCCCCCCCCCATAATCCCACCTGTTGGAGGCCCCATCTTCCCACTTGTTGGGCCCCCCCCCCAAAAAAAAACTGCGTCTATTGAGCTTATCTAGCTGTTCAGGCAACATATCAACATCTGTGCAGGCTTGGAGGCCCTCTGTGCAGGTTAGGAGGCCCTGTAAAAGTGGTCATCTCTGTGAGTATAAGAGACCTCCAAGTTATGAAAAGCTTTACCAATCTTCTAACAAAGAAGTCTTCTCAGCTAGTCTTCTAAGAAATAACTAAGTGGGTAGGTTAAAAAAAAACTCATCGGATTTCGGCCACTTTATTTTCAGGAGGCCCCCTTTTCAGCTTTTTAACTTTTTAACTTTTTATTTTATTTTTGAAAAAATTCGGCCAAGGGGGGGGCCATGGCCCCCATGGCCCCCCCCTTGTATCCGCGCCTGTCTCTCACAGATCTTTAGTCACTCAGTGTAGTCTCTCAGAAGTCACAAACCACCCACAGTCACTGTGATCACACTGAGCGAAGCACAGCACCACTACCAGTCACCAGCCATCCCACCCCACTCCATCCATCTCGTGGCCGTTCCCTGGACCCTACCCTTCCACTCTGGGACCCGGGTCAGGTCGGGTCGGGTCAGATGCTCCCTGATACATCACCCTCGTCTGCCGAGCCCGGAGAGGACCATCGTTCACAGTGCCGAGAGGCAGCTGCACCGGCCGGTATGCGCTGCCAAACGGGACAGACGCTGCGCGGAGCCGTGTCACAGTGCGCCGCAACTGCGAACGGTGCGTCACAACGCAGCGCTGCCGTCATCGCCACAACTGTCTACAACGTCAGAATCTTGCTTTTCTAATTTGCTTAATCAGAATTGAGTGCTGGCGCTAAAATGGCCAGTCCTCTTTGATGCAGTCGAATGAGTTTTACGACGCATGATGTATGCGCCCAAAATTACAAAAAGCAACCCGCAAAATCTCACGAGCGTCATATACAAATATTTCCCATACATGTATGTATTCGATAAGAAAACACACCAACCAGCACTATCCTTCCCAACTGAGTTCATAAATCAAATTCTCCAGCATCCATCAACCTTCTGTTCCTCCTCTTGCCTCTGCAGGACACACCGGGACCCCGGCACTCTCGAACGAGAGTGGAGCCATCCCATCTCCACTCAGCTCCCCGGTGACAGCTCCCTAGACCTCCCTCGGGGCCGTGACAGCCCAGAGCGACGGCAGCGGCTCAGATAGCGTCGGTAGCGACGGGCGTCGACGACGACGGGGGAGGGGGGGGGGGGCACCGCACGCACATTGCACCTCAGTCGAGCTCGGCGCGCGCGACGCGCAGCACGAGAGACACGCGGTGGCACCGAGCCAGACGCACAGTGACAGAGGACGGACACAGAGCGACAGGGTCCTAGGAGAGCGACAGAGGCCGGGCGCAGATCGCTACATCGCCAGACCAGGCTGGGAGCTAGGAAGAGCAGTTGCGATCCTGACTTTAGACAGGAGGGGAAGGGGACTTGGCCCAATAAGCCCTCTTCAGCATACATTATGTTGCATGGTTCTCATTCGTCAATGAAGAGTAAGCAGATAATGCAATCCAAAAGTTCAGCGCAAAGTTCATTTCACCCATTCAACAGGCTGCAGAAACGCCAAGATTCCCCCAGATGACACATCACGATGCTCCACGATCACATAGTAGCCAAACAAGCATCATCAGTGACACCATTCAACGAGACAGCGGAGGTGCGGCGGCGGCCACTGGCGGCCATTTGTTTGTTCCTGTCGCCGATAGCGCCATTCGTCTGGCTGTGAGTTGTTCTTTGAACAGCAGTGCCAGCTGTCACAGATAAATAAACAGGCGCGTATCGCAACAAACCGACACACGAACACGCTCGTCAGACAACAGCGGCCCGTGCCGAGAGGGAACATGGACGGGGAGCGGCACCATTCAGGTGCACGGCCCGTGCCGAGAGGGAACATGGATGGAGAGCGGTACCCTTCAGGTGCGTGATTGGTCAGTGCTCATACACGGGGTTCAGTGACATTCGGGAAGTATTTTTTTTAGAAGAGAAATTAGAGGTTTGTCTATTGATTTAGTTCCATTATCAATTTGTTACTTTTATATCAACATCTTTCCTTTTCCTTGGTCTGAATTAACATGACCCAGGGTTAAACATGACAACTGTGTATGACGCATGTCCCGAAATTTTCGTTCATCGCTGTTAGGTCCGCCCATCACTTCATCTCACCACGCCCCGCACAACCCAACAAGGAGCCCGAGGGGAGATGGTCCCACGATAGCCTCGCTCATCTACCTGGCATACAGCCAGGGACAGAGAGACTCGGACCTGTCTTGCCGATCTCCACACGATCTTTGAGAAGCTCGTAGCCACATCAAGTCAGCCAATAGACAAAACAAACATTCGCACCAATCACGTCCATCAAAGTTCTTTTCACTACTAAGTGCAACTTACACCCGAGCAAAGCAAGCCATCTAATCCATATGTATACTCGTATTGTCAAGTGCGCCCTCAGCCGTCAATCATGCTTCCTCCTGAACAGCGTCCTCTCATGCCCATCCGCATCATGCGACGTTTCAGTCTTTGACAACGCGTTCCTGGTGCCAGAAATCCTAATAGGTTCCTTCGCCCTTGGCGCGGCATTCGAGCCTCTCTAGAAAGAAAGGAAGCGTGAAACACCAAGCGCCTCGCCGGGCCATTAGACCTGTTACCCATACCACCGCGCCAAAAGGAAAGATGGAGAGAGAGAGAGAGAGAGAGAGAGAGAGAGAGAGAGAGAGAGAGAGAGAGAGAGAGAGAGAGAGAGAGAGAGAGAGAGAGAGAGAGAGAGAGAGAGAGAGAAAGAGAGAGAGAGAGAGAGAGAGAGAGAGAGAGAGAGAGAGAGAGAGAGAGAGAGAGAGAGAGAGAGAGAGAGAGAGAGAGAGAGAGACCAGCCGGCTAGTTTCGTCATGCCAGCAATATTCGTCCAGAGGTAGCCAAAGCTGACAGTGGGCAGTTACCAGGCAGAAGTCTCAGACTCAGACTGACAGTTACCAGGCAGCTGGAGGAGATAAGCCTCACCCATGGAGCAGACAGGAAGAGAACAGACGTGCAGGACACTGAGGCGACAGCTCCGTGGGGTAGGGTTGTCGCCGGGCACAGCGTGGCAGAAACGAGTGATCGATGACGGGAGGTGGACGCTGGGCAGCCATATAACAAGTGGAAAACACAACTATTAGGATGTAGTCAAGGTAAATAAATATGAAGGCACTATCGTTAGACGATGCGTAAAGACAAGAGACAGGACAGGCCAAAGACCCAGATAGGATAAAATACAACCAGGCAGCGCGGAACGCGTAAGAAGACGCTCAGGTAAGGTCATCACAATACAGAAATTCTCGCCTATCAGAGGAGGGCGCGGCTATTATGTGGCTGAGGCTTTGCCGGTCCGTAGCTCAGTTGGTAGAGCGTTGGACTCCGCGTGGTGAGAGCACGCGTTCCCGGTTACAACAGTCCGGGTTCGAAGCGCGACGGGCGCTTGACATTTATGGGCCTCCTGACAGGTATGGTTGCGGTTGGTGGCAGGCCGTAGCCAGGCGAAGTCAGTGAGGGGACCGACCGTGCGCGGCTATGTGCGCACGTTTAACTTTGGACTCTGCCATAATTGGAATTCTGCCATAGAACCGGAATTGCGCGATCGGAGGGTAGAGGGCAGGGTCACCGCAACAAGCTTCGCTTAGCGGTGGCTCTGTCGTTGTGAATCCTTCCTATCAAAAGGTTCGGACTAAATTTATAAAAAAAGGGGCTTGACGAAGCTGAGGCAGTCAGAGACCGTGAAAATGAAGGAGCACCCACCCCACCCTGTCCCTGTCATTTCCGCCACCAGGCTCCCAGTTGACAGATGGCTGCTGACAGATGACGGATGGCGGATGACGCCCGCGGCCGTCACCGGCCGAGACGTCACTCTGCTGAGACGTCACTCTGCCGCCGCTGTCAGGGCGGCGACGAGTGACCACAGTATAAC